TAAAAAAAAACTAAAAAAATCAAAAAAAAAAAGTTAAAAATAACTTTTTAAATTAATAAAGAAAAGAGAAATCTGTAATTTTCTCCCATTTTAAATAAAATAATTTTTAGAAAAAAATAAAATTTTTTATTATAAGAATTATATTACATATTAATTTTTTAATTTTTGTATAAAATTCTTAAATATTAAAAACAAAACAAATTTGCATTTTTTTTTAAATTTAAAAATAATAAAAATATTTTTTTTCTTATTTTTTTATTTTCTTTCTTTCATACTCTTTTTATAGAATTCTTTTTATCAATTATTCAATTTAAAAAGATTTAACAACAAAATATCTATTATTTTACTTAATGATAATATTTTTCTAAATAATAATTACATAATTTCATATAATTTCATTTTTAATTATAATTATACAATTTTATGTAATTCTTTTATATCTTTTTTTTTTTTTTTTAGATTTCTCTTTTCTTTATTAATTTAAAAAGTTACTTTTAACTTTATTTTTTAGATTTTTTTAATTTTTTTCTATATTTATTTTTTAAAAAATTTTTTTATAAATAATAATTTTATGTAAAAAGTATTAGATTTTTTATTTATTTATTAAATATTTAGATAAAATTCTTTATGTAAATCAAAAATTTTAATTTATTTTTATAAATTTAAATCTGATTTAAATTTAATAGATTAAATCAAATTTAATATATAAATCGAATTATTTTTAAATCCTTATTAAAATTAAATAATTCTTTTATTAAGGAAATTTAAAATATTATTTTTTTAAATAAAAAAATATTTTTAGATACCTTTTAACTTTATTTTCTTTTTGCTAATTTAAGAAATTGAAGACTATAATAAATTAAACTTTATAAAAATTTAAATTATTATTTATATAAAAATAATCATATAAATATATTTTTTAAAAAAATTATTTTTTTAAAAATGATTTTTTTTTATTTTTCAAATAGTCTAAAATTAAATTATATGAAATGATTTAAAAAAAAATAAAAAGAAAAATTAAGAATTTGATAACAATAACCTTTTGTAATATTTTCTACATACAAATCATATATGTGAATATATTACAAGCTTGTAGAATATGACTCTTAATGATATCTATATAGGTTGATGGTAACTTTCAGAAAATAAACCTGGTCTCACTGATAATAGGTAAAGGTTGAAATAATATTAATAAACAGTATAGATTATGCAATAAATTTTTCTTATATTTAAAATTAAACTCTAATAAGTTCAAAATTTATAAGATATAATAAGTACATATGGTGTCATATGCTAATACTTGTCTAGTATCCCTTTTAGGATAATAAACAAAATTTTAAAATTGAGCAGTTAAAGAGGTATGCATTAATAGAGTAGAGATTTTATAAATTTGGATAGTTCAGATATTGTATTACGTCTTCACATGTGGCTGATGTTGTTTAATATGATTGGCATATTATCACAATCCCCTTTAAAAATCTGCGGGGCGATGAAATCCGCAGTTATTGCGTTTGGCGTCAATATAAACCAATATTTGTTACATACAGATATCTTATCTGTAAATACGCATTACATTTGATCTCTTGAAAGTAAACTTTACTTGCTCCCACTTTTTAATAAATCATAAAGATACTCCATATTTCATAGACACCCTTGATGGATGCTAATTTAATTAAAACAGGTACTTTAAACTGTAATGCTACTGTAAAATGCTGTAATGACAAAATCTTATTGACTCTGTTGTAGTTAATAAACTTCAGGACGCTTTTGCTACTGTTGGTGTTCAGAACCCGGTAGATTTGCCACAGATTGTGGTTATTGGCTCACAGTCAAGTGGTAAAAGTTCTGTTTTAGAAAATATCGTTGGTCGTGACTTTTTACCTAGAGGAACAGGAATCGTTACTCGAAGACCTTTGGTGAGTCAGTGCAGCGAGTTAATAATTCAATTAAAGAAATGTATATTATTGAATTCGTATGAGTTCAAATTTGATTTTCTAATGATCGATTGACGGTCAATTGCCTTAACACTTTCAAGGTTTTACAACTTATCAACCGTCCGCAACCTGAGGTCTCTAAACCAAATGGTACAACTAAGACTCCACCAGGTTAATAGTTATTTAATTTACCTAATTAATGAATTTTCGATTTCTTATAGATTCATCGAATAAAGCAAGTCTTGATAAAACGGATAAAGAACCAGAAGAATGGGGTGAATTTTTACACATTCCTGGGCAAAAATTTTATGATTTCAATAAAATTCGGGAGGAAATTGTAAAAGATACTGAATTGAAAACAGGAAAAAATGCTGGTTAGTTCTTGTTTTCTTCTAATTCTGATAATCTTGTATACTTTTAATTAACGCGTTTTAATAATATATTTTATATTCGTTCACATTTAGGAATTTCTCCTCAGCCTATTAATTTAAGGGTATATTCCCCCAATGTACTAACATTAACACTTGTTGACTTGCCCGGTCTTACAAAGGTATAATTTAAACATTTAATCGTAAAAGCTGTTTTTCACTATTCCTTAATTAATCATTAAATATTAAATAATTAAGGTTCCTGTTGGTGACCAACCAAAAGATATCGAAAAACAAATTCGTGAAATGATATTGAAGTATATTACTAAGCCAAATGCTATTATTCTGGCAGTCACAGCAGCAAACTCTGATTTAGCGAATTCTGATGGGTTGAAAATGGCTCGTGAAGTTGATCCCGAAGGTATTTAACGTTCCGGTATTAAAAACACAATTTCCTTAATTGTTATGTTAATTTTTTTATTTTTTTTTTATAATTTAGGATCACGGACAGTTGGTGTTCTTACAAAAATAGATCTTATGTGAGTCCATATATTGTTTGCTTGATGCGTTCTTGACTTTCTCTAATATATATATAATTTCTCTAAATAGGGATCAAGGAACAGATGTTGTAGACATTTTGGCTGGACGTATCATTCCTTTAAGACTCGGTAAGATTATCGTACTAACACGTTCACATGAAATCTTTCAACTTACATTATAAATATATATATTACATAGGTTATGTACCTGTTGTGAACCGTGGTCAAAAGGATATTGACACCAGAAAAGCCATTTCAGCGGCCTTGGAAAATGAACGTCTATTCTTTGAGAATCATGCTTCGTATAAGAGCAAGGCACAGTATTGTGGTACACCATATCTTGCTCGTAAATTGAATATGGTGATTGTTTTTCAACTATTTTTCTGGATAATAAATTTTTATTCTCATTCTAATATTCATTGTTTTGATATAGATACTTATGCATCATATTCGTAATACACTTCCTGAAATCAAAGCCAAAATTCAAGCAGTGTTAGCGAAATATCAATCTGAATTGCTAACGCTTGGTGATCCTATAGACGATGGTGGTCATAATCATGCCAACCTTGTTCTTAATATTATCACTGAATTTTGTTCTGAATTTCGTACTATTCTTGATGGCAATTCCAATGAATTATCGTCATTTGAGTTATCAGGTGGTGCACGTATAAGCTTTGTTTTCCATGAAGTTTATTCAAATGGTGTGAAGTCAATAGATCCTTTTGATCAAGTGAAAGATGTTGATATTAGGACAATTCTCTATAATTCATCGGTAAATTGAGTTATTTAATTTATTAGAGTACCGTCGTATTTTATCATTCTAATTACAATATTTTTAACCTTCGTAAAATAGGGTTCATCTCCAGCTCTTTTTGTTGCTACAACTGCATTCGAAGTCATAATTAAGCAACAAATAAGACGACTTGAAGAGCCGAGTTTGAAATGTATAACGTTAGTTTATGACGAGCTAGTCCGTATTTTGTCTCAACTGTTGCAGAAGCCGGTAAATAATATGATTTTTATATATCACTTTGTACACTTGTACACTTTTAATACATGCATATGTTTAATGTTTTGGTCTCAATTGCAAATCGAATGTTTTACAATAGATATACAAACGATTCCCAGGTTTAAAGGAGAAATTTTCTTCCGTTGTAGTTAATTTCTTTAAAAAAGCTATGACACCAACAAATAAGCTTGTCTCGGATCTTGTAGCGTAAGTTCTTTAAACATTATTATGTATCATAATTCCATTATTCTATATTTACGAATTAACAATTACAATTTATCAACAGTATGGAAACATGTTATATAAACACTGGGCATCCTGACTTTATAAATGGTCATAGAGCCATGACGATTATTAACGATAAATTGAACCCCAAGCCAACAGTACCCGTTGACAATAAGGGCCGAGGTACATTGAATAATCTTACAAATCCATTAACCGATCCTGAGCCTGCCAACACAGGATTCTTTGGAAGTTTCTTTACTGCGAGTAAAAAGAAAAAGCCAGGCGTTATGGAAACGGTATGAATAAATTGTATTAATAATTTTATTAGACCATAACAATATAATAAAAAAATCATTATAATATTTTTTTTTCGATGTTTAGCCGCCACCAGTTCTTAAAGCTTCCGGAAACCTTTCTGAACGTGAAATTGTTGAGACAGAAGTGATCAGTAATTAATATTTTATATGCTAGATAGAATGTTTGATTTATTCACATCATAAATTATTCATTTAATTTTATTTTATTTTATTTTTAGAATTACTTATTCAATCATATTTCAATATTGTGAAAAAAACCCTTGTCGACATGGTACCGAAAGCGGTCATGCTTAATCTTGTTTATCACGCAAAAGAAGAACTTCAGCGTGAATTATTGCAAGAATTATACAAAGCAGATGTCTTGGATGAATTACTTAAAGAAAGTGATTATACACAACAAAGACGTAAAGAATGCAAGAAGATGATTGAAGCTTTACAAAAGGCTGATGAGGTATTTAAGAATAATTTGGGATATTCTAACTTTTATTTATAAATTATTTATTAATTATATAAAATATTTTTATAGATTGTATCTTCCGTCTAAGTCCACAGATCAATTATCAAAATCTGGGTGAATTTATTTAAAACATATATGTATATATGGGAGAAAAGTAATATTTTAGAAGCACATATATATATGTATTAAAGAATATGACTTTGTAATATTTTATTATTATTATTGTATTGTATTTATGGGTAGATACGGACTGTTTATATCAAAGTTTGAGATTTAGTTGGTTTTCTAGATTAAATTTGGGATAAATGCTCTTAATATTACATAAATATCACATAACTAGTTTATAAATATAGACCTCTTTATTATGACATTTGAATAGACTTGTTATTCTGTATAATAAATAAAGTACAGTTTTCAAGTGGATGCTTACAAGTAATCTGTTTACTCTATTAAATTAAGTATTTTCTATTATTAACATTACTTTATCTATTGTTCATGGTTTATTTAAAGGACCTGGAATTCCCATAAAAAGGTACATGTAATTAATCACCAATCCAGACGAAGCAAATCTAAAAAAGAAACAAAATTATTTGATTAGATATCTAATAACTAAAATTTATGATATAAAGAAATATAATTACAGAAGACTAGTTAAAGCAGAAGTGCGTCCGTTATTTGGATCCTGATCGGAAGCTTTCTCATTAGTTATAGAAACGACTGCAAATATCAACGCTAACCAAGTTGCCCATTTTATCTAATAAAATGAATTTTTTTTTAATTAAAATAAAAAGAAAAAAAAAAACTGTGAAAATTTACAAAGTTTATCTCCTACCTTTGCGATTAAACCTATAGTGCCTATATTGATATATATAAATAAATATATATATATAAAATGAGTAAATGAAAGCACGCGTTTTTGTAAAATATATGTAAAAACCAGACTCACTCAATATTAATGAAAATGTTCCAAAAAGATCGGGGTCAATTTCATCAAGTGTTTTTATAGCAGGATGGTACGGAACAATTGAGTTGGGACGTTTTGGGTCTGAAGTTGTTGAAGTAACTGACATTTTTATTATAACTAAGTAATCAATGAAATACTTAAAAAATCTGTCAAAACAACAAAAAAACACTGGACTATCGATCCATATAAGTATGTTATTTCATGATCAGCAAAATAAATGTTACAAATAAAAAAAAAAAAAATTTTCTCTTAACTAATTCGATAAAGTAATATTTATATTATTATTTGAATCTAACAGAATAATTTTTTTTAATTTCTAATTTGATATTTAATAAATTATTCATATCATCCAAATATTATTTTCTCTAAAATTATTATTTAAACATAATATAATTTGAAGTAAAAAGAAGCAAAGCCATTACAAAAGATAAATAAATATATGTTTATAACAAGAAATATTAGAATAGTATTTTATATATATATATATACTTAATTTATAATTACGTTTGATTTTTTAAAGATTTATTAACGTTAATACTTATTTAAGTTAAAAAATTAAAATATCATAAATTATAAAAGATAAAAACTTGAAAATTTTTATTATAATATTTTTTAACATTTACTTAGAAAACATCATAAAAGCTTATAAATATTAAAAGATTTTAAGATAAATTAAAATTTCTTTTAATAATATTATAATAAATAACTATAAAATATTCTAAGAAGATTTTATTGTTATTAAAAATGTTATTAAAATTCTTTTAAAATCAGCAATTTAATAATAATTTTTATATTTTCAATAAACTGATATTCCTATTTAAAGATAAACTAAAAACCGCTTTTTGATAGTCATTTGACTAAAAAGGAAAAAATAGAGGAAGGTCTTATTTGAACCCTGAAGGTTCAAAAATTTTTTTACCCTAACAGAAAGGACGCTCATTTAAACAACCAATTAGAATCCATTAAATCTATCACGTGAGAATACAAGACGTAAATACATATTATCAAAACAAAAAAAAAAAAGCCTCAAAAGTTTATTATAACCCCTTTATTAACTCCGTTATCCTTAATTCTTAAAAGTTTTTCAAAAAAAATCTCAACTTGAATCTTTTACCATTATAACCCTGTTGAACCATAACTTAGTTCAAAACTTCTAATAAGTTTTGGAATAATAAAATATCTTTCTTTTAAAAAAAAGATCTTGAATTATTCTAAATTTTGAATAACGATATTTTTGTTTTATAAATAGTAAACTTATTCCATCTACTTCTAGATTCCGGAATTAAATGAGTTAAATTGTTTGCTACAGCTCTTTAAAAATCTCTCCTCTCTCGTAAAATACCTTCAATAAGGCAAACCGAACAAAATTATGTCTTCTGCTGCAGTCAGACCAAAAGGACGAAGACAAGAAAGTTATCAATCCTTTTCAAACTCGAATCCAAGGTATGAAAAGTCTTATTCGCTTACTTTAAGCGCGTGCTTTTCACGATTTTACGCGCAGTTAAGCATTAAAAACAAAGAATTCAATTAGCACAAGATTTAACAAAAGCTTATTTGTTTAATTAGTCACAATAATCGAACTCCCAAAAAATGGAACAATAATAACAACAATAATAATAATCAACATCCTGTCAATATGGCACCGAGAAATCATCCGATTCCTTCACAAGCACAACCAACTGTAAACAATCACCATCATAATAATAATACTCTAATATCGTCGGGACAAAACAATGTTAAACCCGTTGAGCAAACGGTACACGACGAAGTTTCCTCTGAGCATATGCATGATCGTTTAATGTTTTTACTTGTAAACTTTATTGTATGTAATTCATTTAAATACAATTGACAAACTTATGTAGTTATTTCAACTTGGAATAAATAATAATCATTTTTTATTTATTTTTATCTAGGGTATGAATGTTTTAGTAACAGTTAAAAATGGGGCAAAATATCAAGGGTTATTAAAAACGGCTAGTACGAATGGAGAATTAGGTGTTGTATTAAAAATGGCTCGTAAAGTGTTGACGAAAGCTGAAGAAAAGACTGTACAGAATCGTGTTATACCGACATACATTATAATGGCAAAAGACTTAATGGAAATTCATGCATGCGAGGTTGATTTTTCTGCATGCGAAAAATTGTTGTCAGAGCGTGAAGGTATCTAAATTAATATTTTTTTTTTTAAAGTAAGAAGACATTATAAAAACAATTATTTACACATGTTAATGACAGGATCAGGAGCTGTTTTTTTGACTGATACAGATATCAGTGGTCGAGTAGAGGGTCGATTAGAGTTTCGAGAACGTGAATTACGCAGATGGACTCCAGATGATTCAGGGGAGATGATTGAGGGCTTAGAATATCCTTTTTCTTAATTTACATGATTTATAATTTGTTCGTCGTTTATTTTTTTTCATTCTTATTATTTTCTTAATTCCTTCACACGGACGATATAAACCAAGACTCAAACAATGTGTCTTGGGATCAGTTTGCAGTAAATGAACAATTATTTGGTATAAAGACAGATTTTAACGAAGAAATATATACTACAAAGTTAGACCGGTCAAGGGCTGATTTTAAAGAACGGGAACGTCAAGCCATCGCCATAGCAAACGAAATCACAAGGGTATTTATTATTACCTTGCAGTTATAAAATATATTTGTCATAAAAAACTAATTATTAAATTATGAAATTCTTTTTTTTTTAAAAAAAAATTTTTAACAGTCGTCTACAACAAATGTTCACATGCTCGAAGAACGTGGCATTATGATAGAGGAAAGCCAAATGGATGAAGAAGACAAGTTAGAAAATTTTTTTTTGTCAAATAATAATATTTACAATTACAGTATCGTTTCATCATTCTATTTATTTCAACTATTTGCTAGATATGGTGCGGTAGTTCGAAGTCGCGATCCGAGCAAATATATGCCGCCACAGCTACGAAAGTTACAAGAGCAACAATTACAACAACATACTGGACCATCCCCTGTTGCCAAAAAATCTGAGCCGAGCAAAGAACCTGCGAAAGAAGTGATAAGTCCTGGGACAGAGACTAAACCCGTAAAGCAAGCACAACCACCGACGACAACAACAACGACGACGACGACGACAACAACAACGGCGAATGCTACTACCGCAGTATCCTCAGCAGTTACTTCAGCACAAAACGTTCCCTCATTTTCATCTAACTCGTCATTAGTACAGTTCCGTATTCCCGAACCTGTTGCTGCTTTACTTAATTCACACACGCCGAGGGTACGTTATTATAATATTGAATATCTAATATTACAAGAAATTTAATGTTTTTTTTCATTTATAGAAAACCGGTATTGATGCGGAGGGTAAACCTATCGAAGGTATTTAAATTAATTATACATGTATTTATCAATATAAGATGTTTTCATGCTTACGTATGCTATAATTTCATTAAAATTTCTCAGCGCAAATTGTCACGACATTCAGGAAGTTTGCTACAAATGAGAAAGAACGTTTACAACAAAGGAAGCAGGCAATAGCTAGAAAGGAAATGGATGGAAAGATGGCGGAATTACTCAAGTGGGGTCAAAATTTTAAGGTTAGTTTATTAATGGTTTCAATAAATTATAAATAGTTCGATATTTAACGTTTCTTAATATTATTATTTTAGTTGAATTCACCATTGCCACAAGATCTTATTCCTATATTGACTAAAGATGAGGTTAAACGACAACAACTTGCAGCTAAATCTGTTTCTTCCTTGAACGAAAAGGGAAAAGAAAAAGATTCTGAGAAGCAGAAAGATAATAAGGAAAGGGAAAAGGAAAAACCGCAGGATAAGGAGAAAGAGAAGGAAAAACAACAAGAAAAGGAAAAGGAAAAGGATAAAGATAAGGATAAGGATAAACTTAAGGAAAAAGACAATAAACCTAAAGAAAAAGTTATCCCTGCCCAAAATTTGGAACCAAAATCAGAGTCTCGAAAACCAGAAATCAAAATTGAAGAGGATAAATCTCATAAAACAAACGGAGATTCAACAGAATCTAAGTCAGCAAATGATAAGAGTTCCGATAAATCTATATCTGCAGCTGATAAAGCTCCGTTACAATTTCCTCCTGGTCGTACGACTGCTACAACACCGACAAATTCGCAATTTAAACTTAATGCAAAAGCATCTGAATGGAAACCTAATCCTAATGCGGCAAGTTTCACACCGGTACGGCTTTTACGTATCAAGTTTATTTTTTCTTGTTGATTTGTTTATTTCGTTTATTACGTTTATTAGTGATTTGTTCTTAATTTTTCTCTTATTTATTTCTTATAGATTACTCCAAATACGCAAGATAAAAGGTCTCCAGGATCTGTATGTAAATTTTTTTAAAAAGGTTTTTTTTTTAAATATAATGATTTTATTAGTTTGCTAAATTCCTCAAAATTAATCCATATAGTCTCCATTTTTCGGTAATCGGCAGTTGAAGAAAAATATTGCTACACTCAGAGACGGATTTACTCCTTTCCAAAAAAGTAAAAACGTAGCTAATCCTAGTTCAATACGTAAGTAAGATATTTTTTTTTTTTTTGATTAGATGCTACTTATATTAATTAGGCATTTGTTTATTAACTTAAATTTTCGAATTTGACGATAGCGCCAACTTGGCCATTTGGTCAAAGACCTTTCAGACATCATTTTTCCGTTACAAATAATTATGATGAAGATATGTATTCACAAGCCGCCGTCACTCAAGGATTTGGTTTTGCAGCATATCCTGTTACTGGACCATACCGATATCCTCCAAACACACAATTTGTTAGTGTTCCACCTATTCCAATTCAACAAGGCGCTCCTATACCACCATATATGCAACCAGGGGTTAGTATAATCCATTATTCAAAGCTTCATTCTCTGAATATTAATAACGAAAAAATTTTCCCATCAGCAATTTGTCCCAGGCATGCCTTTTACTACAGCACCTATGCCTCCCACTGGCGCACCACGTAAGTATTTATGCAAGTTGTCGGTTTAATATTAACGAATGATCTAAATTAATATTCAAATATTTCACACGTTAGCTATGTATAGTGCACAACTTCCTTCAGTGATGCCACGTATGTGATCAACTCAATTTTCTTTTTGAAATCCGATATTAATAATGCGATTGACATAATTTTTTTTTATAATAGAACATTTTGGTTCACAAGGGTTTCCATCTCCTGGACGTACGCCAATGGTACCCGCTACTATCCATCCACAAATGTATCAACCATATCAAAATCCACATGGTAGGTTTTACAAGATTTCATAGTTGAATTAATAATGATGCTAATTTGTTTGATCTCAATAATATTGTAGCCATGGCACCCATGATACGATATCCACACGACATGGTCCAACACGTTTCACCAAATGGTGTGATGATTGGTCAGAGGCCTATGATGATGGAACCACATTACTTACAACCCGAAGCTGCACCGATGGGTAATTGTTTTATTTCATATAATCATTTCTTTATTTCAAAAAAAAATTAAATTAATTAAGAGCGCGCGAACAATGCAAAGAAATAAGGGATATTACTGATCAAATTTTATTAATTTTTTTACTAGAAGGTATGCCAGTTACAGAACCAACGACAATAAATCAATAAACAATTTTTATAGCGTGTAAAATTGGAATTTAATGAGGGCAGGGTTTATATATTAAATTACGAACATTTATTCCTGGTCTTCAATTTATTCTTTATTCCTTAAAAGGTTAGCCAAAAAAAAAAAGCAATTTTTTTAATCTTGGTAAAGCGAGAAATTTGGAAATATTGTGAACGTCTAAAATAATTACTTCGGATGTGAACATGAGAGTCGAGGAAATTTTTTATTTTGATATAAAATGAGAGCTTTGGATGACCGAGTTCTATATAATAATACGTGTAACTTAAAAAATTCCTCAAGACATTATATTAACATCCAATTTTGTATAGTATTGAACCAAAAAAAAAAAAAAAAACAAAAAAAAAAACAAAAAACAAAAAGTTTATGGCATTAAATGCCATGGATGAAAGAAATGTGCACCTTTTTTTCCCTTTTTTTTTTATTTTTTTTTTTGAATGAATGAATTTTTACAAGATTTAAGAATAGTAAGATCATTACGAAAAAGCGAAGCTAAATAATATTTTTTACTTATCGCAAATAAATGTAAATAATTTCAATGATAAATAAATTGCTTTATATTTATAGCGTAAGTTTATGTTAGAATGTTAGAATAAAAACATGGCCCAAACAAAATTTAAATAATACTATTTCTTTTTATTTCTATCAAAGTTATTATCCTTGATTAAGTCCCTCCTTTGTTTTCTATGATATTGTCTTGAATGGACATCGTTACGAAGTTGTTCTTCCTTTTCTTTATCCAATATTTCCCATAGCCAACCAGGATACTCGTCATCAGGTAATGCTATTGGGTCTGCACCATTTTTATAAAAATTTAAACCTTTGAGAATTGTTCCTGCAGGGGCAATAGATTGAATTTGTTGCGGTTTTAATTTCGATTCTTTTTAAATGTAATTACAATTCGAAAGTTAGTAAAATATAAAAGATCATTCATTAAAAAAAATACAATTAAATTATACCTGAAGAATAACTGAACGTGTTTGAAAATGAAAGTGGACGAAAATTTTTATGATTTGGTTTATAAATAAGAGAGGAAGCTCTTAATTTACTTGGTACCTTATTCATATTTTAAGGTTAATTATGATTGATTTTGGTTTTAGAAAATTAATAAAAATAATCCGAGATGATAAAGGGAAACCGAATGAGGGGAAACTGTACAATTCCATCGATTTATTTTTTTTCATAAGCACATTTTTTAAATTTTAAAAGTTCGTATTTCTATAAAAAAACGTATCTTTTTTATCACGTGAGCCTGTTAGCCTGTTAGCCAACCAATATTGCATCTTAAAAATTAAGCAAGTTCGGTATATCATCATGTGATAGACTTAAGCCTTCCTTTTTACTTATTCTAAAAATTGACATAATATCATAGCAAACAGTATTTGAGCAAATGTCTCAACAAACTTTGGAACAATCGGAAGCTTTGGTTTTTAATAATATGGTTCTTTACCCAATGAACCCCGATCTGAATAATACGCGCCTTTGGCTTCGCAATGCTCTAGCAAACGCTTCGGTATTTCTCGCCAATTTTTAAAAGTCAGTTACACTTTTGATTTCTTTCACTACAACAATTTTTATTTTCAGTATGTACATTCAGACCGAGTGTTTCGGGACGTTGATGATACATTGGCAATATTTAGAGCTTTGATGCTAAAAACCGAGAAATATAGTAAGTAATTAAAAACATTTACTTGATCAACTGAAAGATATTAGCTATGATACTTGGATATCTTGAAGTTAAAGAGGTTATAAGTTCGAACATTATTAAAGGTATCGAAGGCCATTAAGGATTACTTAGAAATTACAAAAGGATTATAGTTTATTCATTCATTAGAATATCCAAAGATTAAATTGAGATATATAGGACCGAAGACGTTTAATATAATTCTCACAATAGATATGTGATCTCAATTTCCTTCAAGCCTACGACGATGGTAAGGTTCAAGTTTTATTATGTCTTCACGGAACCATTCCAATCACATATAGATCAACGCCATACAATATCCCGGTTGCCTTTTGGATTCCAACGGAATATCCTATGGTTCCTCCGATCGCATTCGTGGTTCCGACACCTAGTATGTTAGTAAGAAAGTCGCAATTTGTTGATGTCAGCGGTCGTTGTTCTCACCATTACTTGGATAATTGGAAATCATCACATAGTGAGGTTTGTATGAAATGAATTATATTATATATATATTGTTTCTATTGTTTACAAGATACTCAATCGCTTTTTTGATATTCCTCCTTTTTTTGTTTTGATTTCACGTAATTTTTAAGGAATCAAATCTTAAGACACTTTGCTCGCTTTTACAACACATATTTGCTCAAAGTCCACCGGTATATACTAGACCTACATCACAAACATCTCCACCTACACCTCCACCACCTCCTCAATTATTACAGCCACTGAATGGAGGACAAAATCCATTGTCATCACCAGTCCTTCGAGCGTACTCTTCACAATCCCCAACACCACCCCCTTTACCTCCGCCACCGTATCAACCTTCCTCAAATATTGGCGTAAATAGGCCAAGGAGTCATAGTTCCAATATTCCGCCTGTTATGTTAAATTCACGTTATGCAGTTACGTATTGGTTTTAAATTTATTAGTCGTGTTTCAGTTTTTTCTTAATGTTTATTAACATGACGAAACTTTTAAAGTCACAAAAACCAAATCATGGACCACCATTACTACCGTCAAGAGGTTCTTCACATCCACCAACTTCTGTTGAATCTCAACTTACTGTACCAAGTATACTTGATACACCAGCACCTCCTATCGTTACACCGCCACCAACAACTCAAAATCCAGAGTTGGTGCAATTACAATCATCGGTTTATGATAAAGTGAAACAGAAATGTGAAGAATACGTTGAAAAATCATCACCAGAGTTTCATAGGATAATGTCATTTGGTGAACATTTGAATCAGAGTCAAGAAATTATTAAGGACGAAAGGAGACAATTGGTTGATAAGGAAACAAAAATAAAAGAAAAGACTGAATTTTTAAAAGGAAAGATTGCAGAGGTTGATAAATTGATAGAACAAGCTAAAAATATGCCTGAAGTATCGGTTGATGATTTTCTATGCGGAACCACTATAGTTTATAATCAGTTAGGTATCTTTTATAATTTATTTTATTGAATGAAGAGGAAAAAAAGAAAAAAAAGCTATATTTACTGATAAAATTTTTATAATAATTGTAGATTATTTGATTTGGTAGCAGAAGACAATGCAATAGAAGATGCAACTTATTATTTAGGCAAAGCATTGAATAGTGGTAAAATAGATTTGAGTTCATACATGAAGGTAAATAATCTATATTTTATAAAGCTTGATTTTATTGTTTTATTTGTTCATACCTTGCTGATTTTTAAAATCAAAAATTATTCTAAAGAATATTCGTAGTCTTGGACGAGAACAATTTATGCGTAGGGCGTTGATTCAAAAGATTCGAAGACAGGCTGGATTGAACAAAAGTAATACACCATGATTTATGAAAGGTGATAATAGGTAAAGAATTAAAAGTGAATTAGGAAGATTACGAAATAGTTTTATTAGAAATATATTCTGACTTTGATTTAAATAAATTTTATATAGGAAAAGTCTTAAAAGGATTAAATTATTAAATGGAAAAAGCATCGAGCTTGTATAATTATTAAACATGTTGGTGGGTTGAGTTACTGATAGTGTAATATAATTAATGCATTTATTTTTCCTTAATCTTCAACTACAATAAAAATTAACATCAAATTAAGTTATTAAATTTCACTTTTATTTTTTTATTTTTTTATAGATAAATGTCGAATATCTTTGTATTTTTATTTTTACTTTTTTTTTTTTGTATAAAAATTGGGTTAATGACGTATCCAATGAAATGATTAAAAATTTCGGATAATTTCTTGTTCAAAGATATAATTAGTTTTAAGGTCTAATTAATTTCAATATCAAAATATCTACAACCATTGAACATTTCAAAATTTGTATTGTAAAAATCAAATATCATGTTTTTTTAAAAAATTAAAATTAAAATTCGTTAATCTTCAGGGTCCATATATTATATAATGTTGAATTCAGTGGTATTTCTTAAAAAGTTCATGTTCAACTTAATCTTCCAGTCTTTTGACATGACATATAGTACAATAATTTTTACTTCTGTCGTCTTAATTGATATAACAAGTATCCTCTTGCAAAAATTTCCTAGAATTTGTTTATAAAATGTTAAGTGAGCTATTAATTTTTATTCATTCTCAGGCAATTCTACTACAACTGGTGCATACTCCCCTTCTTCCTCCTCCTCCTTAGCTATTTCTTCTTCAACGATTCCCCAATGAAATCTTTGATTAAGAAAACCTCTAAACTTTTCAAATCGACGCCTTAAAGCATGTAACTTTTGTGAACCTTGTTGTTGTGATGATGCACTTATTGAAAAAAACGAGTCCAAAATATTTCGACGAAACATCTAATTAAAAATTATAATAAATATATTGAATTTTTAAGAGTTACTCATTATTATTATTTCGCATTATCTGTTACCTTTAATGAATGAACAAGATAATTATTTTCAGCCAAAATTTCATGAAAAAAATCTTGCGGACATTCTTCAAGTTGATAATTTAACACATCTAAAAAAACAAAAAATTTTTAAAATTCATGAATTACAGAAAAAGATTTTAGACAAATAAATAAATGTACCAATGAACTCAATAAATAATGTATCCGCAAATTTTTCTAATGCTTCTTGACATGAACAAATCAATTGCACCAGATTTTTAAACTGCACGAATCCCGCATAATTCTGTGCCATTAAAAGACATACGAAAGATAATTGCAATTCTCCTAATAGTTCTTTGTAATCTGATTATAAATTTTTTACTGTTTTAGATAAAAATTTCATATGACGAAAACAAATAAGGAGAAGAAATATATATATTATTATTATTACATACCATTATCATAAGCTTTTCTTAACAACTCGCCCAAAAGCCAACTTTTATCTTGGCTATATTTTGTGACCTCTTGACCCGTGGCTCCAAGCTTCCAACTTTTTTTGAGGTCAAATTTTGTAAATAATATAATATCACTTTCTCCATATCTCGAATCACCTAAATTAATCAGCTCTTCTTCGTCAACAGTAGATGATGAAATATTAGTCACTTTCCCTTCATTAGGCAAGATAACAGAAATGAGACGAGGAGTTATATAATTTGTTAGGCGAATCCATTTTTGCCAATTTGTTGGCGGTGATAAAGGATATGGTCCCAAAAATGGATCGAATTGACGCATGTCTATATAAAAGAAGTAAAAAATTTAAAAATCCTTTTTTTATTTTTATTTTTATTTTTTTTTTTTTACGTTATAATTTACCTATCTTTAATCGCTCGATTTGTTCTGGATCAAGTTGTTCGCTTTTTTTAACATCTTCTAATGCATGATCCCAATCTTTTATTACTATCTAAAACAAATAATATAATAACTAACCAGTTAAAATAATACATTTTACTAAAAGTGTGACAAATTTACCTCCTTTGATTCATAAAATTTGAAAAATCCTGTTCTAAGTCCGGAAGTGCCAGTTTTGTCTGAAGTACTATGAAAAATAAAATAAATTTAATAAAACTAAAACGTCTATGTGTGAGAAGAATAATATGGATTAATAGTACAGCTAACCTATAAAATACGAAATGTAACCCAGGAGGAATGAGCTTCAATCCCTTAAACTTTGGTCCTATTTTCCATGAGTTATAATCTATGCCGAACTTTGGAAAAAAAAAAAAATAAAATAAAATGTTAAATAATTAACCAGGAAAAAAAAAAATTTTTTTTTATAGTAAAAATAATATTCAACCTCCAATCCTTCGGGCGCGTTCAAGAAAAGCAAGAACGCGCCTTGATTGAATAAAGCTTGCGCTGTTTCTTGGTCCATCGAAAAGACTTTTATTTATGAAGAATTGAAAGAATTTAATTACACGTATGATCGACATTACATTGTTATGGAAGATAAAGGAACAATCACGTCAATTTCGGTTGATCAGAAAATTTTTTATTAGAAATTATATAAATAATATAAATTATATTACATTGTTAAAAATTCTATAGTTTTTCAAAATCAAAAATCCTTAAATAATAAGGGTTGATAAATATTTACAATTACTTTCTTAAATAAAAAAAAACTTCATTCATTTTCAGAAACGGCAGTTGCAAGTGCCAGGACTTTTCCTTAATCTTTTAAAATCAGACAAAACATTATCCCATATTTCATCATTATAGAAAAAATACTTGTTGTAGCTTTGCTACAAACAGGTAAAGTTTCCTACTGAATGAAGTTGGGAATCGTGTAACCTTTTAAGTAAAGTTTTTTATTTTTGAGAATTGCTTTTGATTGAATTATGGGATTCAAAAAATAATCGTGATACAATCATTTCATTTATGTGACATATCCCGTGACCACGCGTTCTTTGATCAACCCAACTTCCTCCCTCGTTTTTTTTTTTATAATTCTCTTCGATGAACAATAATAATTCATTGCTTATCGTAGCATTTGTAAGTTTGCTAATAGGCTTCGTACTAGGAAAATCATTAAAAAAATTACCTAAAAATGTAAGTAAACTAAAAATCTCTTTTGACTTCTCTGAAATTATCCTTCTAAAATTAATTGAATTGTTTTTTGATAGTATGATAATTCCTCATCCTCAATAAATCCAAATGATTTTGATGAATTTAAATTAGTAATTATAACATATATATGACCTTTTTTGCTTTAGCCATAAACCTTTTAAATTTGCGAATGATTTCATAGGTATTATTAATTCGAAATGACCTGGGAATGACAAAAGGAAAAGTGGCAGCACAAGTAAATTGTTTCGCTTTCATTTCTTGTTAAAAGTATAACAAATAATTTCTATTATCTATTAACGCGATTTCATATGATGAGATAGTGTTCTCATGCAACATTAGCATGTTATCAATCGTTGCAAAAATCAAATCCTCAGGTAAATTAAAATTTTGTCAAAATTTATTCGAGATCATCTAATCTTATTACTTTTTATAGCTATTAGAAGCATGGGAAACTTCAGGACAGCCTAAAATTACATTAAAAGTTAAAGATTATGATGAAATGTGAGTAACATATTTAGAATCAAAATGCGATATTTTATGAATATTTCTAACACTTGATGTTTACATTATAGGTTATCATTGGCAAATAAAGCAAAAGAATTTGGATTATGTGCTAAAATAATTCGAGATGCTGGACATACACAAGTTGCTTCCGGATCTTCTACTGTACTTGGCATTGGTCCAGGTAATATCATAATTAAAATATGACATTTAAAGGAACAATTTTATTTAATAATTTTTTTATTTTATTCTATTTAGGACCTGTGGAATTGATTAATGATGTTACAGGACATTTGAAATTATATTAAAGCGTTAATGCAGAGTAGTTACTTATGTAAATAGATTTGATTTGATTTGGTTTTTATTTTATTTTTGCAAGGTCCAAAGATAGCTCCATATGGTGTCAATAATAGTAAATATTAAACCTCTTTTTATAAAAATTCCAAATAATTAATCCAGGTTAAAATACGCTAAGCGAGCAAAACCTTAGCAAATTATTAAGTTATAAATTATCAAACGAAAAAAAAAGACTTGATGTATTGAATAATATTACTGATTTATTATATTAATGATTTGGAACTTTCTTCGATGATTCATGAACTCGTGCATTAATGTTTTTGAGTATAGTATCTCCTCATATTGCTTATGTTCATGGACGACTTAAAAATTATGTATTAAAGTATGTAGATTTATAATTTATTAAATATTTCGTTGATGCAATTATCCAAAGTTTTATATGATCATGTGTAATTTTCTTTATAAACAATAAACATTTCACTTTACAATTGAAAAAATTTTTTAATTCTACATTTAAATGTTTCTTTTCGATTTGCAAGCAATATAAAAAAATTAGAAAACCAGGATTATAAAGAAATAATCATATTATTATCAAACAATTATTCGTCAGGAACTAAAAAGTTTAAATTTAATTAGTAAACTTTTTTTTTTTTTAAGAAAAAAAAAAAGGAAAAAAACAAACCTTCAACTTCTCCAGACTCAATTAAATCACCAAGATCTTTAGGGTTTTTACTAAAATAATTTTTTAAAAAAAAATTAAAATCGAATAAGTCAATTAAATAAGATAAAATAAACAAAGAAACGTGAATTCAATTAAACAAAATGCCAACCCGTCAACAGTACAACCAACGCTGTTACATGTGCCCAAAATTTCCTTTACTGTTCCCTTGAGACTTTTAGCGAAAGACTTTGAACGCATAGTACGAGCAATTTCAATCACTTCATCTAGAGTAATATTTCCGGAGTGTTTAATATTCTTTTCCTTTTTACGGTCTCTAGGTGGCTCTTTAAGAGCTTTGATAACTAAAGATGAAGCACTTGGTACTACGGAAACTGCTGCTTGACGATTTTGAATTGTCAGTTTAACAGTCACACGTAAACCCTTCCAATCGGCTGTAGCCTTAGCAATGTCTTCACCAACCTTTTTGGGGGCCTTTATTTTTTTTTATTTTTTTAAAAAAAAAAAAATTATTTCATTTAGATATCGGATCTTTTAATAGATTTAATTTGCTTCTATTAAATATATCTATCCGAAAAGATCTGATATTATCAATTAAAATCTAACGTACCAAACCTAGAGGACCAATTTTTGGAGCTAGAGCACTTGAAGCACCAACTTCACCACCAGTAGCTCGAAGGTAAACTTTAAACGATTATTTCGTATTATTTGATTGATCCATTTACATATATTGAATTTTTAAGAGTTACTCATTATTATTATTTCGCATTATCTGTTACCTTTAATGAATGAACAAGATAAT